AGAGAGAGAGAGAGAGAGAGAGAAGGACAGATGGATGACAAACAAACGGACAGACAGACAGGAAACAGTTCCCTAGTTCTATAATATATCATTATATGAGGCCTGGTGGTGACATCAGGCGCTCTTCAAAACCATGACATCAAAGAAATGGGCATTTTCCTGACTGTTGGCCAATTTTGTTCTAATATTTTTTTTTTTGGCTCAGCACCTTTTATATCCATTTAAAAACACATTTCTGTGTGGATTTTACTGGAAAAACATTGATTTAAGGCACAAACAATGTCAATTTTCAGTTTCCAAGGACTCTCAAGCTATGGAAATTACCAAACTTTGGCGACCATTTTCTCGCTAATTTCACCTCTGAAACCAGGCAACCCTGACCCCCTTCAATCTGAAATATCTCGACATCTATTCGAGATAAATGGATATTTTCTAATTGAATGTAAGGCAAATGACTAAGCTGTCAGTTGATACCAATAACGCCATATGCCCAAAAATTGACGAGCACCTGATTTCACCGCACTGCGTAACATATCGGACCGTAGTGCATCGTTGACTCCGTTCTTCTTCCTGTAGGCGGGCCTGGCAGCGGGAAGTCTGTGCAGGCGAACAAACTGGCTGAGAAACATCCGGGCTGGGTCAACGTCCATCTGGGCGAGCTGCTGCGGGCGGAGATCGGGAACAGAGGCGCGGACGAGAAGTGGAAGATGGTCAAAGATTTGGTGGTCAGTGGGGAGCTGGCGCCGGAGGTATGTGTGTGTGTGTGTGTGTGTGTTGTGTGTGTGTGTGTGTGTGTGTGTGTTGTATGTGTGTGTTGTGTGTGTGTGCATGCGCGTGTGTGTGTGTGTGTATGTGTGTACGTGGTGAAACACCAAACCAATGTGCCAGGATCTGGACAATAAAGATGTACCTTATCCTATCTTATCTTATCTATTCTCTCTCTCTTGCCCTTTTTAACTCCCAGTGGAGCATAGGCCATCAACAACATTTCTCCAGTGAAGCCTGTCCTGTGCATCCGTTGGGCAAAGGGTTAGCAGCCCATTCGGGTAAAACAAAAACAAAAAACCAACGAGAAAAACATCAACAGCAAAAACAACAATCTATTCCATCCACTTTGTTCTTTCTTTCTTTCCTATCTTTTCCACCTGCCCTACTTTTCCCTGTGTTTCTGAGAACCGGAGTAGCAACCACTGTGTGTGTGTGTGTGTGTGTGTGTGTGTGTGTGTGTGTGTGTGTGTGTGTATATGTGTGTGTGTGTTTGTGTGTGTGTGTGTGTGTGTGTGTTCAACCGGAGTAGCAAACACTGTAACTGGAAGTAACCAGACTCGCTGTCTGTGTGTGTGTTCGTTCCGCAGGAGGTGACCTTGAGCCTGCTACAAGACTGTCTGCGCAACAACACGGAGGCCAACGGGTTCATCATTCAGGGCTTCCCCCGGGACATGGCGCAGGCCCAGGACTTTGAGGACAAGGTTAGGATTTGTTCTGTGTTTGCTTACAGTAGGACTTTGAGGACAAGGGAGGGGGTTTGTTCTGTGTTTGCTTACAGTAGGACTTTGAGGACAAGGGTGGGGGTTTGTTCTGTGTTTGCTTACAGTAGGACTTTGAGGACAAGGGTGGGGGTTTGTTCTGTGTTTGCTTACAGTAGGACTTTGAGGACAAGGGTGGGGGTTTGTTCTGTGTTTGCTTACAGTAGGACTTTGAGGACAAGGGAGGGGGTTTGTTCTGTGTTTGCTTACAGTAGGAAAATATGTAGTGTGCCTTTTTTTGTGATGTGAATTTACTGAGTGGACTGTAGTGACAATAGTATGACAACAACTATGATATTTATGATAATAATGGAAATTATAATGATAATAATAATGATGATTATAAATAATAATAATAGTAATAATAATAATAATAGTAATAATAATAGCAGTAATAACAATAATAACTACTAATGGAGCTAAGGCCAAATTTTGCGAACAGTATATTCTCAGAAACTGCTGAATGAAAAAATATGAAACTTTGCCAGTACCCATAACTTGAACCGTAGTGTTGCACTATTGTATTTTCATTAAGATCAAATGTGTAAGAAGAAAGCCCATTTTAAGTTAAATTCAGTCATTTTGTAGCAATGGCCATCATTTGCTTCGACATTGTATATTCGCTGCGGAGTGCCGACTGCGCCAAAGGATATTTTGTGTTCAGTTAATATACATTAAGTGGGTTTACGGGAATTCCTTGTAATAATAATAATAATAATAATAATAATAATGGATTGCATTTATATAGCGCATATCCACTTATGCAATGCTCTATGCGCTTAACATGATACATATTATGGATTTACAAATCAATTTTAAAGGTACATAGTGTTACATACTCATGCAAACACATATTCACTCACGCATGCACCACACACACATACATACTCACATACACACATACGTACATATGCACATACGCACATACAAACTCACAACGATCTACAGCTTGGATGCATTCTGTCTAATCGAAATATGATGAAAATAGAAATGCTTTTAGTTTCTTCTTAAAAATTTCTAGATTTTCTGCTTCTCTGATAGTTTTTGGAAGCCTATTACAGACAAGTGGGGCAAAATATGAAAAAGAGCGTTGGCCATATGATTTGTAATTTATTTTAGGCTTAACAAGGGTTGTTTTGTCACTTGATTATCTGAGCGTTCTTAATAATAATAATAATAATAATAATAATAATAAAGATATGTATATGTTATACAGAGAGAAATATTGTAAAAAGCATAGAGCTTACTTTGATTACAATTATGTCTTATATGCAAATGCTATTTATTAAGTGTTATCATTATCATTATTATTATTATTATTATTAATATTATTATTATTATTATTATTATTGTTATTATTATTATTATTGTTATTATTATTATTGTTATCATTATATAACATCATCATTATTATCATCATTATTATTAATATCACCATTATTCCGTCCGTCTGTCCCAGATAAGCCGAGTGGATGCGGTGTTCCTGCTGGACTGCGAGGAAGACAAACTGACGCAGAACGTGTTGAGCCGGGGAAAGGAGACCGGCCGATTGGACGATTCGCCCAGCGCCTTGGCCCGCAGAATGGCCACGTTCAAGGAGAAGACACTGCCCGTCCTCAAACATTACGACGACTCAGGGAAACTTTACATTGTGAGTTTTTACGATGATATTGTGAGTTTTTACGACGATTCAGGGAAACTTTATATTGAGAGTTTTTACGACGATATTTTGAGTTTTTACGACGACTCAGGGAAACTTTATATTGTGAGTTTTTACGACGATTCAGGGAAACTTTGTATTGTGAGTTTTATAACACAGGGAAACTTTACATTGTGAGTTTTATAACTCAGGGAAACTTTATATTGTGAGTTTTGTAACTCAGGGAAACTTTATATTGTGAGTTTTTACGACGATTCAGGGAAACTTTATATTGTGAGTTTTATAACTCAGGGAAACTTTATATTGTGAGTTTTATAACTCAGGGAAACTTTATATTGTGAGTTTTTACGACGATGCTGGGATACTTTACATTGTGAGATTCCAGGCTGCCTTTGTCAAGAAATTTTAAGACTGTTTGGAAGACTTCCTGTTGATTTCTTGCCTTCATCAGCAGTTTGTGTGGAAAATTTACAAGCGTATAAAATCAGGTGGACAAATTTTGTCCGTCTGATTTGTAGCAGCGTGTGTGTTCAGTGACATCAGTGCTTGTGTCTTGTGACCCAGTTTTTTCCGCAAACTCTTTTTGTATGGTTACATAATAGGTTTATGGTGATTGGTCAAATCTCTGTACACAGCCCCCCCCCCCTCCCCCACACCCCCCCCTCAGGGCAGCGCCACTGACTGAAGTGTCTTTAGGCCATTCCTAAAGATGGGATATTAACGTGTTCTAATGCACAGTAGAATTGTAAATGGGCTGATTTATCAATGTCATGCTCATACTGTGCCGGAACAACATAGGGGGAACTGCTGCTTTTTCTTTCCTCATCCTTACTATCGTCATTTTTTCCTCTACTTCTTTTGTATGTTTGTCACTCTCTTGTAAACAGCTATTTCCGGGGTGCCTTGATAGTCGAAGCAGACTTTGAACTGTTGAAGCTAGAGAGGTGAGCAGAGTAAGCCTGATTCCCTGAAAGGACTTCTCTATTGACATCCACCCCTTGGCGCTCACATGACCTTATGTAGTTGCAAGCGCCATAAAACCTCTGCTAAAACAAACGTCTGCCCTCAGGTCTATGGTGACTGGTTATTTACATATTTTATATTTGTGCAAGTTTGTCACTTTGGCCGCACAAAACTTCCGAACTTTCGAATTTGACAAAATTAATAGTGGTTCAGAATCATTTAAAGGGTGCACTGTTGTATTAAGTAGTCTGAAGTCACTGTAGTTTAATTTTCAGTTTTTCATTAGTTTCGTTTAGATCTAATCTTGGGAATGTCCGTCTTCTAAGACGCCATTGTAAACAAGTGAGAACTAGTGAGGTTTTCATTCACAAACAGTGGGCACTGGTTCCACACTGACGACCGATTCTTTTTGAGTCCGTTCATCGAATGGGGTACCTATCTTGTTTGATAGGTTTGTGGTCATTGGTCAAATCTCTGTACACAGGTCAATGGTGACTGGTTATATGATAGGTTTGAGGTCATTGGTCAAATCTCTGTACACAGGTCAATGGTGACTGGTTACATGATAGGTTTGTGTCATCGGTCAAATCTCTGTACACAGGTCAATGGTGACTGGTTACATGATAGGTTTGTGTCATCAGTCAAATCTCTGTACACAGGTCAATGATGACTGGTTACATGATAGGTTTGTGTCATCGGTCAAATCTCTGTACACAGGTCAATGGTGACTGATTTCATGATTGGTTTGTGTCATTGGTCAGATCTCTGTACACAGGTCAATGGTGACTGGTTACATGATAGGTTTGTGTCATCGGTCAAATCTCTGTACACAGGTCAATGGTGACTGGTTACATGATAGGTTTGTGTCATCAGTCAAATCTCTGTACACAGGTCAATGATGACTGGTTACATGATAGGTTTGTGTCATCGGTCAAATCTCTGTACACAGGTCAATGGTGACTGGTTACATGATAGGTTTGTGTCATCGGTCAAATCTCTGTACACAGGTCAATGATGACTGGTTATATGATAGGTTTGTGGTCATCGGTCAAATCTCTGTACACAGGTCAATGATGACTGGTTATATGATAGGTTTGTGTCATCGGTCAAATCTCTGTACACAGGTCAATGGTGACTGGTTACATGATAGGTTTGTGTCATCAGTCAAATCTCTGTACACAGGTCAATGATGACTGGTTACATGATAGGTTTGTGTCATCGGTCAAATCTCTGTACACAGGTCAATGATGACTGGTTATATGATAGGTTTGTGGTCATCGGTCAAATCTCTGTACACAGGTCAATGATGACTGGTTATATGATAGGTTTGTGTCATCGGTCAAATCTCTGTACACAGGTCAATGGTGACTGGTTACATGATAGGTTTGTGGTCATTGGTCAAATCTCTGTACACAGGTCAATGGTGACTGGTTACATGATAGGTTTGTGTTATCGGTCAAATCTCTGTACACAGGTCAATGGTGACTGGTTACATGATAGGTTTGTGGTCATTGGTCAAATCTCTGTACACAGGTCAATGGTGACTGGTTACATGATAGGTTTGTGTCATCGGTCAAATCTCTGTACACAGGTCAATGATGACTGGTTACATGATAGGTTTGTGTCATCGGTCAAATCTCTGTACACAGGTCAATGATGACTGATTACATGATAGGTTTGTGTCATCGGTCAAATCTCTGTACACAGGTCAATGATGACTGGTTACATGATAGGTTTGTGATCATTGGTAAAATCTCTGTACACAAGTCAATGATGACTGATTACATGATAGGTTTGTGGTCATTGGTCAAATCTCTGTACACAGGTCAATGGTGACTGATTTCATGATAGGTTTGTGGTCATTGGTCAAATCTCTGTACACAGGTCAATGATGACTGATTACATGATAGGTTTGTGTCATCGGTCAAATCTCTGTACACAGGTCAATGATGACTGGTTACATGATAGGTTTGTGATCATTGGTAAAATCTCTGTACACAAGTCAATGATGACTGATTACATGATAGGTTTGTGGTCATTGGTCAAATCTCTGTACACAGGTCAATGGTGACTGATTTCATGATAGGTTTGTGGTCATTGGTCAAATCTCTGTACACAGGTCAATGGTGACTGGTTATATGATAGGTTTGTGTCATCGGTCAAATCTCTGTCCTCAGGTCGATGGTGACCAAGATGGTGAGACGACACACGACGAACTGTCCATCATATTTGAGACCCTCCTGCAAAACTTAGAAAACGGCAGAATCCCATGTGAGTAGCCGGTAAAAGTAAAGTTGTTCCCGCATCCGATCCGGACATTGGGGATTGCCTTGTTAGTGAGACAACTTCCTGGGCCTTGGGCATATTGTGGTAGGGTGGCCAGTTCCTTTCCACGCCGCCTTTACTTCCCCAACTCCAAGTCAGGTACTCATTACTGCTGGGTGGGCAGGAGGGGGTGAAAAAAATCTGTGTCTGAACCGAGGCTCGAACCCAGACTTTCCGCTTCAGAGATGAGCGTACTAACCGCTCCGCCAGCGCACCCTACAGTAGCCAGTTTGGTTTCGAAAGAAAGAAAAGTGGACTGAGTGAGTCAAAAATGGCCTGCATGTAACAAACTGTTGGGAGCGGCGAACGGTGGATGTTGTGAGCCGAGCTACAGGAGAGAATATTTCTTTCTTGAATGGAGTGAGTGAAGAAAATGAGTTTGTCTGAATGAATGTCACATTTTGTATTTGAATCTGTGACAAAACTGACATTGAACAAGGGAAGGATTAGCGTATCCTCCTCCTCCTCCTCCTCCTCCTCCTCCTCTTCCTCCTCCTCCTCCTCCTCTTCCTCTTCCTCTTCCTCTTCCTCTTCCTCTTCCTCTTCCTCAATTTGTTAGTATTTGAGTGCTTGGTCGGCAGCTTGCACTGTATGCTTCCTGGGAAGCTGAGAATGTTCCTGAGTGTTCTATGGTCTGCTGGGGTAATGATGTGTTGTAAAGCACATACAGCTTGCTGTTGGTGGGAATATACGCTATACTCGTGCTGTTTATCACCTTTGCTTTTTTTTTCTTCTTCTTCTTCTTCTTCTTCTTCTTCTTCTTCTTGGTTGGGAGGTGTCAGTGGAAGGTTCCACTTCTTTACTTTCCCCCTTTTGTTTCTGTCTGTCTTACTTTTCCCCAGCACTAAATGACTATTACTGTGTGGATGTGCTTCTCTTTTTTCAAACAAATCTGAGTAGAACTCTGTGGGTATCGTGGGTGTCAAAGAACATTACGTTATCCCATCATCCACAATCATCCACAATCATTCACAATCATCCACAATCATCCACAGCCCCTCCCGCACAAGCCAGACCGGCATCCGGCCGGAGATCGCGACGGTCCACGCCGCCAGCTTCCTCCCAGAATGCCTCAGCGCCCCCACTCTCCCCGGCCCCCGCCGCAGAACCTGACGTGACTCTGCAGCTGCCCACGCTAACGTTCATCCCACCGCCGGAAATCAAGATCAAAGACGAAGGTCGTCGTGACGGACTTCCGCAAGCACCAGTCATCTTCTTAGCCGGTACAGGAAGCAGTTTTATGTCCGTATATTTATATATACATCGCCACCTCAGTGCTTTCTTGTCCTATCTCCATTTTTTAAAACAGAAGTTTAAAAGAAGTTTAATTCAGATATCTAGATTCTCGATATAATGTTTCACATGATCGTCGGTCGTGGCAAGTTGGAAAAGGAAAATAGTAAACGGGGTGTATGGAATAAGGAGGGGGAGGGGAGGGGGGGGGGGGAGTATGCAATAAAACTGAAAATAAATAAGCGAAAGTGGAGGGGGGGACGCTTATTGGATAGCGGTACCTGAGAGTATACACAGGAAGTTGAAATGGTCTGGTCTATCACAAAAGTCACGTTTTCTTCTTTCTCTGATGTTTCGTTTTAGTTATTTCCTCCTGGACACTTACACACCAACAAGCACATAGACAGAATCAACCCCATGTGGGAACCCCATTGCAGACACTGTGACTACCACGAGGAGACCAAAAAAAAACCAAAAAAAATCAGCTGCTG